GCCCCTCTGATCAACTAGCTTTCATCACCCGCCGCCTCCTTCCCCTTGGCGTTCCTGTGGATCTTACCCCATGGTTCCATGGCAGTTTTGAGCGGTCGATCCCACATTGTTGTTAGGGAGCCCTCGGCAGAAAGAAAATATCTGCCGCGGCTTTGCCTTCGCGAATCCTGCTGGACCAGAGGGCGGTGTCCGTAGTGTGCCATTGTTGAGCATCCAACTGAACGCGGACAAATTGGGCAGATTGCTCCCTCCTGGCCTGCTCCACCAAGCTGAGAAAATTAAGCGAGTGCCTCTGGCTGAGACCAACGCAGAGAAAATGACCGGCGTGAACTTGAACAGGCTTCGGAACAGGCGCTGTACTGCTGTCAACACTCGTGCACACAGCAGGAGCTTCAACTGCTCTCTTGGCCAGTTTGGGTCCCCTCAAAGCCACTGGCGGTCCAGACAACCTGAAGGCAGCCTTCTCAACCAAATGTTTCTGCTTTCCTCTATTCTTGTTCAGAGCCTACTGTCTCAGACGAAGCACCCTTTCCTCCTCCACCTTCTCCTTATCAACATGGCTGCGACAACTTCTCCATGCCACGCAACAGTGCACCTGCTGCTCCAGGTGCTTCATTAAGCGACCTCCGGTGTGAAACTCATTCATGTACACCTGACAGCATGTGCCAGTGATCCAGTTGTCAGGGTCTTGGGCACTGTGATGACGTTTTCCCTGGTGAATGTGGAGACATTGGACCGAAATGGGCCGAGTAACCGCACTCGTAGCAGACGAAAACCGTTTTCTGACCCGTCGCCCCCTCATCTCCGTCAGTCACCCCGCTATGGGCCTGAATACTGAGCTCCTTGCACATCATGCGCGAATTCTTTATTGGGTTGGTCCTGCTGCTGCCTAAGAGCTCCCGCCTAGCCCCTCGGAAACGCGGTTCCTGAAGGTCCTGGGTTCAGACCTCGCTAGTGCAAGCCAGTGGTCATCCGCACCCGAGCCAGGCACGTCTTTCCTGCTAGCGACCTGGCTCAGACACTTGAAGTCTTCCTTGTTCACTTCTACTCAGCTGGACGCGACGTCCCAAAGGTAGTCGAGGGCAACTCTGAGCCCCGAGGGTGCATTGGACAACAGTTTCGTGCGATACTTGAGCCTAGCCACAGTGAGAACGGCGCGATGCTCCAACACATCCACCCGAAGCATCACAGAGTTGTGCGACTCGTGAGTCTCTTCATTGCCAGCCAGCGGCATACCCAAGGCAGCTCTATATCCCGCGGCCTGTGCAGTGGAGAGAGCCTTGTGGTTTTTCTTGGTGGGAATTCTCCCATTCGCAAACATTGAACCAGAGCTTAGACATGGCGTAGGCGTCCGTGTACTTCGCCCGGACAGCCCTTACACCCCCTTCCGCGCCCCCAGGGGGACTTGGATGGGTCGGAACTCCTTGCGCATGCTAAGTACCGGTCTTGCCCGAGATCTCGACACTAGGCGACAGGCCTCGACAGGCCTTGGGCAAGCATCGTTCCTAGCCCTTCGATTTCCCGGACCAGTTCCACATGGAGACCGTGTTTGGGGGGGACCACCTTGACCGCCCCGTCCTCCTTGAGAAACGCTTGTTTCACCTTTGTAGGGTATCTCCCAAGGAGCACTAGGAAGTATAGGTCTTGCTGGCGTTAAGCCCGAGCCTGAACCTGGAGACAGCCTCGTAAACGATATCCAGCAAGATGCCCGAGCGATTTCTGGCTTGTCTGGGGTCCTTCATGACAGCTATCGGAATGAGGCTATCGACAGAGGAAACAGAGGCGTTACAATGCTGCTAGTCCTCTGGTTCAAAATGGCAGGGCTTCTGTTCTGGACTCCAAGCAAGCTCATGAATTTTCATACGTCCCTCTATTTCGGTGGTGATTAGTTCAAGAACAATGTTGAAAACATGCGTCACGAAGATCGTGCCAGGCCTGGTTCTGACCGCGGGTCTCGCATATGAGGACGCACCGCCTAAGTCTCCCTGACCAACTCTCCGAATTGAGCCTCCTCAACGCAACTGTCTAGCAGGGGGGTGCCTTGCAAAGCGCCCGTGGCAGGAGAAAGAGTATCGGGTAGGCCGATATCTCGCACGGCCTCGAGCACATCAAGCTCTTCCCCTGGGATCCTCACAGCGAACTGCTGTACGACGCTGGCAAGGGCCGCCGTGAGATCAACGCAAAAGGGGGGCCGCCGAGCTGAACCCTTGACTCTTCTGCGGGGCCGGAGCGGGGCAGGGCAGCGCAGCAGCCTCTCCTGGGCGGGCGGGCAGGGAGCGGAGCAGGGGGAGGGGGGGGCCCCTGGGGGGGGGGGGGGGCAACCTCTCCTCCTCCCCCTCCCCCCCCTCCTTCTCCTCCTCCTCACCCTCGTCCTCCTCACCATCCTTGCCCTCCTCGTTCTCCTCGGGGGGCGGGGGGGGGGAGCCCAGGCGTCGCCGCGCTGGCCTCGGAGCGCGGAGGCCTGGGCGGCCGGGGCCCACAGAGGACGTGCGCGCCCAGCCACGTGCGCGAGGGTACGCCCCCAGCCCAGTGCGCGAGGCCAGCGTCGCGTTGCGAACGCTTGCGCACAGCGTACTCTTCGGAACCGGGGCGGATTCGTGCACGTGTGGCACACGAAGGATTGCAAGAAGGACGTGTATACACGTCGGGTACGTCCCTCTTTCGCGCCTGGCGGACCCCTTCCCGGAGAGCGGCCTCTCATCCTGAGCCGATTTGCCTCCGGGGGCCTGGCGGGGGCCCTCGGAGGCCCGATCTGCCCGAAGCCGCCCGTCGCGATACGTGTCTCTACGCGGGGGCGTCAGGGAAGAGAGGTCGGAGGAAGGAGAGACGACACCACCACCACCAGGGAGGTCACCTCCAGCGAGGGCGCCCACGATACCTCGCCGAGCTAGCTGCGGTTGGGAGGTGCCCCGAGCGAGAGGGGTGGGCCACACCACCGAGAGGACCTTCCCTGGCGTCTCGCGCTGATGGTGGTGCCGCCTTTCCTTGCTCCTAGGTTCTCAGGGCGCTGTCGGGGCCCCCGGAGGCTGAGATGTTCTGTGCGTGGCGAGGATGTCAGGGAACAGAGGTTGGGCGGGGTTAGAAGCGCGATGCAGTGGACATCCATGCCAAGAAACACCCTGCTTGCCTTCAGGTTGCTCTGTTTTTTTTGTGTTCCGATGGTTCTGCAAGGCGTGACGTTCCCACGCCAAGCATCAGTGGACGTCCTGGGGTCTCAGTGTTGGGTTTCTTGTGGCAGGTTCCTTGTGGTCGGGCCCCTGCTGCACTTTGTCCCAGAGCGTACTGGAACGCTCTCAGAGCGCTGCGGGGCGCTGTGGGGCGGCGCGCCGCCCGATCTCGGCGATCCCCGACTTGGCACCCGGGTCCGATACTGTCCTGGTCTTTTGGCCTCGCCTGCGGCGGCGGCCCCCAGAGGGTGTGGTGACCGCACTGCATGGCGAGGCAGTGCAGATCCGGGGTAACCTGAATCAGGTCGGGCATGCCCTCCTGCAGGCGGATTCCGGAAGAAAAACGACAAGTAGCCGAGCAGTCTTCAAACATGGTCCAAAGCTCGTCCCCTGTGACCATCATCATGACGATCATTTCTTTACCATGATGATGATCATGACGATCATGACCATCATCATGGTCGAAAGGTCGTCCCCAGAGACTATCTCTCTACCATCTCATGGCCATCCCCCCCTGTGCAGAGATCTGCCCGACTTCAGGGTGGCCCCCTTGTTTTGGGGGGACTCGGGCCGTGCTCCGAGGACGCCTCGGGCGCGGTCGGGGCCTCCCCGAGGCCCCAGGGCCGCGCGGCGGCGGACCGCGCGGGGAGGCCGTTCGCGGGGGGCCCCAGGCCACCACTTCACAGGCACGCTCGCGCCGTGAGCGAAACATCAGGGCGGGAGGGTTTTGCCAGGTTTCGGCCTCGGGGGGCCCTCACCGGGCCTCGGGCCAATCAGGACGGGAGGTTTTTGCCAGGTTTCGGCCTCGGGGGGCCCTCACCGGGCCTCGGGCCCAAGCGAAAAATCAGGACGGGAGGTTTTTGCCAGGTTTCGGCCTCGGGGGGCCCTCACCGGGCCTCGGGCCCGTCAGTAAACGACTCAGGGGGAGAAGCCGGTCCCGGGGCAAGGGGTCGGGACTTCCAGGGGCCCCGTATGGAAAAAATCAGGACGTCGCGCGTCTGGGACGCGGTCCGCCACCACGCGGATTTAAGGTGAGGCAGCGGCCTGAAGCCAGTCGTGGGCCAGCTCGCCCTCCGTCTCGAGGTCTGAGGCGCCGTCGCCTCCTGCATCGGCACGCCGGCTCGTGCACCTGCCCTGCCTTGGAGGGGAGGTGGGCCCCGAGGGCTTCCCTGCCGAGGGGAGCCACCACGCGGTCTTGGGACCTCGCAAAACCCAGAGGGATCGGCATCCCCGGTGTGTGCGTGTGTGTGTGTGTGTGTGTGTGTGTCTGTGTGCGAGAGAGAGAGAGTGTGAGAGAGAGAGAGAGAGATCGGTTTTTGTGCCGAACCGCCGAGAGCAGATGCCCCCTCCAGCCGCCGGCAGCTCCCGACGGCTTCCGATTGCTGGGGCATGCGGAGATCATCTGCTTGCGGCAGTTCGGTGCGCCAGCGGATCGAACTCACACCCTCCCTCAGGGTCACCCCCCCTTCGGTGGGTCCCGATGGTGGGAGGGGCGCAGGCTCTTTCAGAAGGCGGCTGGGCTTCTCGGAAGCCCTCCGGCCTTCTGAGAGGCCGCCTGGGCTGACGGGCCGATGTTCCACCACCGCTGCCATAGGTAGGAGAGGGAGGAGGGGGAGGAGGGGGAGGAGGAGGAGGAGGAGGAGGAGGAGGAGGAGGAGGAGGAGGAGGAGGAGGAGGAGGAGGAGGAAGAGGACCTCCCCATCGGAGGAGGAGGAAGAGGACCTCCCCATCTTCCTTTCTCCCCCGTCGACCTTCCTCCTCCTCCTCCTCCTCCTCCTCCTCCTCCTCCTCCTCCTCCTCTTCCTCGCCCTCCTCGAAGGGAGGCGGGGCGAGGCGCTGGCAGCTGTGGCTGTGCGCGCCCGGGCCGCCTGCTCCTCCCGGCGCCGGGCTCGGCCCAGGCTCGGCGCGGCCACGGCGGCCACGGCGAGGCCCACGGCCACGGCCACGCGCACGAGCAGTGGGAGCACCCCGGGCGCTACGAGGAGCGAAGCCTCGAGGAGGAGGGATACGAGGGGGAGAGAGGAGGAGGGAGGAGGGAGGAGGGAGGAATGAGGAGGGAGGAGGAGGAGGGAGGAGGGAGGGAGGGAGGGCGGGAGGAGGGTGGGAGGGAGGAAAGGAGGGAGGAGGGAGGAGGGAGGAGGGAGGGAGGGAGGGAGGAGGGAGGAGGAAGGAGGGAGGAGGGAGGAGGGAGGAGGGAGGGAGGCAGGCCACCTGACCGCCCCTCCCCCCGCCCCGCCGTGCGCGGCCACCTCCGCGCCCCCGCGATGCCACGCTGGAGAAGTCGGGCATGTCCCTCTACGGGAGTATGTGTTGACTGCTTTTCAGTGTTCGTCCGAAGCCCGCCTGTAGGAAGACAGGCCTGACCTAAACGTAACGCTACCCTGGCCTCGTTTTCCCCCTTTGATTGGCCTGCTCGGAAACCCTCGTCGCGACCGCTGGATTTGCTTCGACTTTCTACAGGGAAACAATTGACAACATAAAATTAACAACTCGGAGGGCCGCGCGGATTTCTCGGATCGGCGAATTCTTTGTGGGCTGTGTGCCCGTGTGGATGTCGTTTTGCAGCAGAGGCGGAACGACGACAGAGCGAAGGACAGCGAAGCCAACACGAGAACGAACAACGCAGGTTAGCGCGAGCCCTGGCCGAGGTCCCCCCAGCTCAGAAGCCGGGCGAGGGCTGCCAAGTCCGCGGCTGCTAAAACCGACCTCCGGGAAGCTGTCTTCGTCCTTCCGGGAAAGAGCCCGCTGACCGTTTCGCGTGCCGCGCCTCATTCCGGGAGGGCCGTTTTAGCAGCCACGGTTTTAGCAGCCCTCGCCCAGCTTTCGACCAACAGTGGCCTGTGCGCTCGGATGTGACCCTCGTCGCGGGCCCCGAGAGTCGCGCGCCGACGGCCGCGCCTGCCCAGGCCTTGCGGGGCGAACAGCAGACAGTCGGGGCGCTGAAGAAGGAAGTTCTTCCGTTTGGGAGGGGCTCAGTGTTCCTTGCTTGTTTTACGGCTTGCCTCAGGCCTTCCTTAGGTTTTCGATGGGGCATCGAAGCTTCTTTATGGACAAAAGGGGCCTCGCTCCGTCTTTAGGTACGCTTCCTTCGGCCAACGCCCCGACTGTAAGCGTATCTTTTCGGAGGTCCGCGCGACTTTCTTGGATCGGCGTTGGCCCCCCCAGTAAGGAGGAGGAGGAGGAGGAGGAGGAGGAGGAGGAAGAGGAGGAGGAGGAGGAGGAGGAGGAGGAGGAGGAGGAGGAGGCGGCCTCTGGCGCGGCCCCTGGCGCGCGCTCCGCGCGCCAGGGAGGGGGGGGCCCGGCGCCGACCCCGAGAGATCCGCGCGGGCCTCCGGGAGTTTCTGTGTGTACAGTCGGGCCGAGGCAGAGGATCGAGGTCGGTTCCGGGAGGGGAGTTACCCTAGCGTTCTTCGTGTTTGATGGATGTTCCTGTGCATCTTGGGGAGGGTACCTCTGGATGTTCTCGCATTGTCTTGAGGGATGCTCGTCTGGCCTGGGTCCGACTGTATTCCCCTTCCAGAGGAGCGCGAGAACCCGCTGTGGGCCACCAGGGACTGGGCAGGCCCCGGCGGGCTGCCCGACGGCGTCGGATCGCCCCGATGCAGGGCGGTGATGGTCGCGGGCGTCCAGGAGGGGGGTAAGGACTCACAGTGGGCAGGTGGTGGCGCAGGCGTCTCTTCGCAATGACCTCTATGGCATACCAGGTGTTTCGAGAAACTCCAAGCTTGTGCCGGGGGAGGGGGGGGTCTTGGGGGGCTTCGTGTGTGGGGGTGGTGGGCACAAGCACCTATACGGCCACCCTTAGGGTGATAAGAAGGTCCGGGGGGAGGATCCGACATCTCACTCAATCGATTTCACGATTGGTCTCACTATAGATCTCACTATCGATCGCACGATCGATCACACTATCGATCTCACTATCGATTTCACTCACTAATATCTGACTGTCGATCTCACCGTCGATATCACAATCGATATCACTATTGATTTCTCACTCTTCCTCTCACCATCGATCTCACGACCGATCCCACCATCGATCTTACAATCGATCCCACTATCGGTGCCACTATCGATCTCAATATTGGTCTCAATCGATCTCACCATCGACTTCCCCGACGGGACAACGACGGGACAATGACGGGACACCAGCGGGACACCCGCGGGACACCCCCGGCCAGCGCCGGACCACCCCGGGCGTGCGGGTCTCTTGGCCCGGCGGCGCCCTGGCCAGTGGAGGGTTCACCCTTCCTCGCCCGCCCACGCAGCTTCGCCTCGCCTTCTTCGCGCTCCTCCGCAGGATAGCCTTGCTTCGCGCTCCGCGGCCTGGACTGGAGGGGCGTCCTTCTCCAGCCAGGGGCCGTCGCGAGGGCGCGAGGATTTTCCCGCGCCACGCGGGGCGAGGCGCGAGTGTGTGTAGCCCAGATCGTCTGACGAAGCGCTTGTTTGAGGACCGTTCCCTCAAGCCGTCGTTTCCTCGGCGCTGGGAGCTTTGCCCCCGCTCCCGCCTCCTGAAGCGCGCTGGTGCTCGCGCTTGTCCCTCGACGAGTGGAGACGCTACCCCCCCTTGCCCTGCCTCCCTTGCGACGGAAGCATTGGGCAAGGGATCGCTGGATCCGAAATCTGGGGTCTCGTCAGCTGGGGATCTCCCCGAACACCGGGTCTACGTGCAGGGTTCTGTCGCCCTTTGCGTCACCAACTGCACTCGGCACGCGTGCATTGGCTCTTGCACGAAAGAGCGGCGAGGGACAGGAGGAGCAGGGTGAGGAGCGAGTGGGGCTCAAAGATGGCCCAGTGCCAGAAAGTGGCGAGGTTGAGCGAACGAGCTAGCAAGCGACGAGAGGAAATACATGTTTCCGAGTTGTACAACGCAAGTGCGCATAATCCAGCTGCCTGCGGCAAATCACGCCACTGTGTCAGCCCAGCATTCTGTGTGGCGACTGTTCGATGTGGGAGAGCAGTGATGAGGATGAGGCTGAGGATGAGGATGAGGCTGAAGACAATGGTGATGATGATGATGATGATGATGATGATGATGATGATGATGATTATGTTGTTCATGGTGATGGTCATGATGATGATGCTGATAATGATAGTGATGATGAGGATGAAGATGAGGACTAGGAGGAGGAGGAGCAGGATGATGGTGATGGTGAGGATGCTGATGATCATGATGATGATGATGATGATGATGATGATGATGATGATGGTGATGCTGCTGCTGATGATAATGACGATTTTGCTGATGACGCGGGTGATTATGATAATGGCCGCAACGACGATGGTGATAATTATCTTGATGTGCATACTGATGACGGTTATGGTTAGGATGGCGAGGGGCGGATATGATGATGATGCTGATGCTGATGATGCTGCTGATGCTGATGAGGGAGACGATGCTTGTTGTGATGTTGGCGATGTTGGCGGTGGAGCCGCTGATGATGACGATGCTTGTGATGATAGTAACGGTGGTGATGATGATGTTGTTGATGACAATAATGATGCATAATGATGGGGCGATGTTGATAATGATGGTAATGACGACGATGGTGATAGTGATGGTGATGGTCATGATGATACATATGCTGGTACTGCCGATGCTGCTTATGCTGATGATGTACATGCTGTTGGTACTGGTGACGATGATGATGACGATGATGATGCTGAGGATGATGCTGACGATGATGATGCTGATGATGAATTCCGTTTGCATTGACCCCCGTTTGCAAGATGCGTTACTCTGATTGACCCCTCATGGTGATGATGAGGATGATGAGGATGATGGTGATGGTAATGGTGATGATGGTACTGATCGTGATACTGATGACGATGATGATGCTGATGACGATGATGATGCTGATGACTTTGATGATGATGCTGATGTTGTTGATCGTGATGATGGCGATGATTAAGACTATGACCAGGAGGAAGGGGAGATGGAGGATGAGCAGGCGGAACAGGACGAGGAGGAGACGGAGGAGGAAGAGGAAGACCATGGAGATCGTCATAGACACCTTTTGTCTTCACTATTTGAGGAGCTACTTTCCAAATTGTCGGGGTCGTCTTGGGGCTGTCTTGGCCTCGTGTGGGGCAGTCTTGGATGTACACAGGGGCCCTCTCGGGCCGTCTTGGGGGGGCCCTATTACGCCGTCTTGGGGCTCTCCTGGGCCGTCTTGAGGCCCTCTTGGCCATATGGTGGGTGTCTGGGGGCCGTCGTGGGGCCGTCCTGGGCTGTCGAAAGGCCTTATATAAGGCTGTCTTGTGTCCTACAGGAGGCCGTCTTGGGGCCGTCTTGGATGCCTGCTGGGCCAGCGTGGGACGTCTTGGGCCATCTTGGGGCTCTCTTGGGGGCCTCTTGAGCCGTCTTGGGCTATCGTGGAGGCTTCTTAGGCCGTCTTGAGCTGACAGAAGCCCGAACAAGGCAGGAATGAGAAAGCCAGTCAAAAACGCAAGAGTGATCAATGACTTTGGCTTCTTCGGGCCCTGTTGGAGGTCCTCTTGTGACCCCTTTGGGCCCTCGTGGAAACATCTTGGGCCTTCTTGTCGCGATATTGGGAGTTCCTCTGGGGCCGCCTTAGACCGTCTTCGAGGCATCTTGGGCCATCCTGGTGCCTTTGGTTGCCTGCATGGGCTGTCTTGGGAGCTCGGGACGCGGACCCATCGTTTTACACGCGCCCCTCGAGGACACAGATCCCTCGTTTTGCACCCCCTCCGCATCCAGCAGCAGCGGGACTTTGGCGAGCTTCGAGGTCCGATCGCCTGACGTTGTGCCTGGAGTGGATGGGGCCGGAAGATCGCGCCGCATCGCCGATGTATCGGCGATTCGGCGCGAACCTGGGCACAATTTGTTCCATCCCGACATGGTGAACGTGTCGCCGATGCATCGGCGATGCGTCTTGATTCAGTGGCCCCATCTTCTCTGATCTCACGTGTACGTCCCCACAATTGCTTTGACCACCAGGTATCGTCTTCCTGTCTCAATCAACTGAATGCTTCTAGGCAGTTCGCAGCTAAGGAGACTGGTCGAAACCGAATCTTCTCCAAGCGCCTTCCTGCGGTATGTAGGTTCGTGTCGTCTCGACGCGGCAGCGACCCAGGCGCTGGTGTTCGATCCCGTGGCCTTGAATCGGGCGTCATCGAACGATCCGCGCTATGAGAACGCCGCGATCGCTCAGGGTTGAACGGTCCGCATGGTGCCAGAAGCCAGCGCACAGGTCGTCACAACAAAGAGCTGCCGCAACTCACGCTTCTTCTTGTTTTTTCCGACCGACGAGCAGTCGGAGCGTCGGGCGCACGCAGCAAACGCCGCCCCGAAGGAAAAGGGGTCCTGAAGGAAGCGGGTCCTGGAGCCCCGGGGCCTTCCCCAGGGCCAGCTCATCACTCTAGGCCTCCCAGGTGGGGTCTGAGTGGATGGGATCGGAGGATCGCGCCACATCGCCGATGCATCGACGATGCGGCCAGATGTGGAGCCCGATTCGCTTCACGCCGACGTCACCGATGCATCGCCGATGCATCGACGATGCATCGCCGACGGCGCGATCCTCCGACTCTATCTGCTCCGACCCCATGTAGGAGGCCTCTACAGGACCAGCTTATCACCCCGAGCCGTTCCGTGCCGGCTCCAGGGTCCGCGCCGGGCCGCGGGGTGGTCCGAGCGCGGGACAAGAACCTCCAGGGGGCCCGTTTCCTCCCAGAAACCGTTTTTGGCCCATGCTCGCGGGCGATATCCGTATCCGCGACCTCGCGGGCAGCCCTCCAGACCGCGACCCCGTTGATTCAAGCAGTGGCGACGCGTCCGGGCTTGCCTACTCCCACCAAAGAATGTTCTAAGAACTTTTTGCGGTGTGCACGACATGTTCTTAGAACGTGTCTGGCTGAGACTATCTTGTTTTTGATATATAGGGTTTATGTTCTGAGAACAGTGTGTTTGCTCTTCGAACTTCTGGGGGTTCTGAGAACATGTCATGGTCGGCCGATAGGAATGGCGGGACGGCCGGTCCCTGCTGAACGTGGATGCGGGGTGTTTTTTTACAGACCCCCCGCGCGCAACGCATCGATGTGGCCGCGTATTCGTGGGATCCTTCCCTCCAGTGTCCAGACCGCGAGAGAGCGTGGATCTGGTTGCGGGCTCGCTCGCCGCTCGCGACGATGCGAAGCATGAGGCGCAGCGTGTGACAGGGGCCAGCTCGGAGGGGGAGACCTCGAGCCTGAATCGGCAATACTGCAGCAGCAAGAAAGCAGTACCCTACCGGAAACATGGCTTCAATCCTTAGCTCTTCGTCCTACAAGTGCGCGTCATCGGGATTGCGCACTGGGGTTCGGGCGGATTTTGGGATCGGGGCAGAATTTAGAAAGAAAGCGCGGGGGGTGGGAGGGAGGCTGGGGTTTGGAAGGATTCTCCAAAGAGCTGGAGTTCCTCGCCGATCGACCGGCGATAGGCCCCCGACAGCGAGTCCGCACGCTCTTTGCCGTGGGTGGGCTGTCGGGCGATCGATGGGCGATGGGGGGTCGATGCATCCCCTCCCTAAGCGTGTCCTCCCCCCCCGGCACTTTGCCCCCGACGTGTGGGAACCCCGTCCTCGTCATGGCCCCGGGCCCTCGCCGCCGCTGCCGCGCCCGCGTAATCATCTGCCTTTATCTTCCAGGCAGTCCGCCAGCCACTACTTGAGCGCAGCGGCCATCCAGGCCGAGTCTACAGTGAACACCCATACTACGAAACACCCTGCTTGCTTCCAGGATGCCGTGGGTTTCTTCTTGGGTTCGATGGTCTTGCTGTGGAAGGCGCGACGTTCCCACACCAAACATCAACGGACGTCCTGGGGCCTCAGGGCTGGGTTTCTTGTGGAGAGTTTCCACTGTATCGCCTGACGTTGCCCCTGGTGAAGACGTCTGGGCCTCCCCCCTCCCTACGGCGCCCCGCGGAGGGAGCCCGGCGGGGCCGCGTGCATGCATGCCCCCCCCGCAAACCCGTCGTGGCCTCGCCGAGCAGGCCGCGCCTTCACCGTCGGCATCGGCGGCCCCGTGGGCTCCGGGAAGACGGCCCTGACGCTGAGGCTCTGCCAGATGCTGCGGGACAAGTACTCGGTGGGCCGCCGTGCCGAATGACGGATGAGGAGGACGAGGGTGAGGACGGGGATGATGAGGATGAGGATGAGGATGAGGATGAGGGTGAGGGTGAGGGTGAGGATGGAAAAGGTGATGACGATGATGGTAATTAATGACGATGATGACGACAATGAGGCTGATGATGATGCTGCTGATGATAATGATGATGATGATGATGGTAGTGGTGGTGGTGGTAATGGACGTGTTAATGGTGGTGATGATGGTGGTGATGATGATGATGATGCTGATGGAGGTGGTGATGCCGATGATGCTGATGATGCTGATGCTGTTGATGATGCAGCTGATGACGACGAAGGTGATGATAATGATGCTGATGATAACGATGGTGATGGTGATGGTAGTGGTGATGATGCAGATGATGATGAGGATGAGCATGGCGATGGTGATGGTGATGGTCATGCTGATAGTGATTGTGGTGGGGGTGATGGTGTTGGTGATGACGATGCTGATGCTGATGCTGATGACGATGATGATGGTGATGATGATGATGATGATGATGATGATGGTGATGCTGATGATGATGATGCTGATGCTGCTGATGATGGCGATGTTGCTTATGATGATGCTGTTGGTATTGATGATGATGCTGATGCTGATGATTATGATGATGGTGCTGCTGCTGAGGATGGTTAGATGATGATGATGATGATGATGTTGTTGCTGCTGTTGTTGTTGATGATGATGGTGCTGATGATTATGCAGATGCTGGTGCTGCTGCTGACGATGATGATGATGTTGATGATGCTGATGATGCTGATGATGTTGATGATGCTGATGATGATACTGATGCTGATGCTGATGGTGATGATGCTGAGGATGAGGATATTGATGATGATGATGATGATGATGCTGATGGTCATGCTGCTTATGATAACAATAATGATGATGATTCATGATGCTGATGATGATTATGATGATGATGACGATGTTGATGCTGATGATGATGATGCTGATGTTGATGATGATGATGCTGATGATGATGATGATGATGCTGATGCTGATGATGATGATGATGATGGTGGTGGTGGCGGTGGTGATGATGATGATGATGATGCTGATGCTGATGCTGATGCTGATGCTGATGCTGATGATGATGCTGATGATGAAGATGAAGATGAAGATGAAGATGAAGATGATGATGATGATGATGCTGATGATGATGATGATGATGCTGATGATGATGATGGTGATGGTGATGGTGATGGTGATGGTGATGGTGATGATGATGATGATGATGATGATGATGATGATGATGATGATGATGATGATGATGATGATGATGAGGATGATGATGATGATGATGATGGCGATGAGAGGAGGAGGATGAGGAGGAGGAGGATAAAGTGGAGAAGGAGCAGGAGGAGAAGGAGCAGGACGAGGATGATGATGCTGATGATGATGGTGATGATGATGATGAGGAGGAGGAGGAGGAGGAGGAGGAGGAGGAGAGTGTGAGAGGACGATGAGGACGGGGGAGGAGGTGAGTCTCCGATGGGGTGGAAGGTGGAAGGTAACGACGAGGATGAGGAGCACGGGGTTGACGCGGAGAAGGAGGATGACGACGAGGAGTAGGATGAGCAACAGGAGTTTTGACGCGGGAAGGACACACAGAGAAGAAGGAGGGGCAAGAGGCAGGAGGCAGGGGACGATGATGAGGAACGGGGAGGAGGAGAAGCACGTGTGTCGGCAGCGGCCTCGAGGAGGCGGAGCAGCACAGAGGCGAGATTGGGGGTGGGCCGGGGGGCAAGCGCAGATATCAAGCAGGTGGGCGTCGTCACCAACGACATCTTCACGCGCGAGGACTGCGAGTTCCTGACCCGCAACGGCGCCCTGCCGCCCGAGCGCATCCTGGCGGTGGAGACGGGTGGCTGCCCGCACGCGGCCATCCGCGAGGACATCACCTCCAACGTCCTCGCCCTCGAGGACCATGGGGCGCTTCCCTGTGACTCTCGCGTCGGAGGCCCGACGCCTGGCGCTCGGCATCGCTCGGGCGCGTGGAATTGTCTTCTCGGCGAGGGAGAGGAGGGATGGAGGGAGGGAGGGAGGGATGGAGGGAGGAGGAGGGGGAGGAGGAGGGGGAGGGGGCGGAGGAGGAGGAGGAGGAGGAGGAGGAGGAGGAGGAGGAGGAGGATGAGGAGGAGGAGGAGGAGGAGGAGGAGAGGAGGGGAGAGGAGGAGGAGGAGGAGGAGGAGGAGGAGGAGGAGGAGGAGGAGGAGGAGGAGGACCATCGAGGAGCATCCTGGATCACCTGGCAAAAACAGCACGCGCGAACAGCCGAAATGCACGGGAAGGGACGTCCGAGCGATGGCGAGTTGGGGCTCAGTCTGAGGCACGGGGCCCTGACCCAGACGTCCTGGCATCTAGGAAAGCTCGCGACGAAGGTTTTTCATCGTTTTCGGTCTCCCGGGGCCCTACTATCGGGCCTCGGGACGTTAAAAACGACTCGGGATGAGAAACCCGTCCCAGGGGAGTGGTCGCGAGGTCGGGGGACCGTGTCTCGAACAAATTGTGACGTCGGATGTCTGGGGAAGATGTGCGGTCAGGAACTTTGGCTCAGCGCGTCGCTCCGCCGGCTCTGGCCCACCGCGCTTCGGCGCGACACTCTGGCCATGCTCCAGTCCCCAGGCGTCAGCGTCCCGAGCCTTTCCTGGCCTCCCGCCGAGCAGAGCGACGCGCTATCCGTCTGCAGAGCACGGCGTGTCGCCGGGGTCCTCAGCCGCAATTCACAGAGCAAAAGGTCCTGACCGTAGGAGGCAGCCTGCAGGCTGAGGTTAAGTTGTCCGAGGCCTCCCCGGGCCCCACTCTGGGGCGTCGAGTCTGAGCGTCGTGATACGTTGGCACGGCGAGGAAGTCGTCGCGTTTCGGACCCCTGGAACTTCGCGGGTCCTTCCGGCTCGAGGGATCTCCGCGCAGAGATGGGTCGGAGACCTCCGGTCGTTATCCGTAAGGGCTTCGCCCCCTGCCGCGGGCCCCCCTCTCTTAGAATGGGACTTGCCAGAGCTGTGTTGGGATGTCTGGACGTTGACGTGAAGCAATGTCGGGACCTCACGCGAGGGCCAATATCTTACTGTACGGTTTGCACTGCAAACCTGAAGAACTGCGTTCGAATTCTGACGGGAGGGTATATGGCTTCGGGGGCGCGAATCTTGCATAATTTACGAGGGCTACGAGGTTTATGGTCTCGAGGACGCAACCATTGCGTATTTTACGAGGTTTGTATGGATTCGGGGACGCGAGTATTGTATAATTTGCTTGAGTTTATGGCCTCGAGGGCGCGAACATGGTGTAATGTACTAGGTTGTGCAGCCTCGGGGACGCGAATATTGAGTAATTTGCGAAGGTGTACGGCCTCGTGGACGCGAATTGGGAGTAATCTACAAGGGATTATGGCCTCGGGGAAACGAATATTAAGTATTTGTACATGTCCCACGCCCCCCCAGAATGCTGAGTACCCTCCCAAGGAGTGGTAAAACATCCCGTTTGGGGCTCCCACCCCTCGCGCGGACAGCAACAATTATTATCAGTAAGGAAGCAGAAAGCAGGACGGTAACGGTGGAAACTGGAAACTGCAACTTCACCCTCGCAGCCTGGTGGCCCTCAAGGGGGCCGGCGGATTTTCTGGAGACGCGTTGTGTGTGTGTATGTATGTGTGTACGTGTGTGTATGTGTGTGTGTGTGTGTTTGTGTGTGTGTGCGTGTGTGTCTGTGCGTGTGTGTGTGTGTGTGTGTGTTTGTGTGTGTGTGTGCTTGTTTCTTGTTTGGTCCTGCTGCATTTGCTTCCCTGCTCCTTTCTTGCTGGGCCTGCGCTCTACAGCTCAGCGGACGGCTACGCTGGGCACTCGTGGAGGGTCTCTGCTCTTGTGCGCGCTTCCATACAAGTGGCACTGTCCCCCCCTGCTTCTCTTTGCACCGCTGGCTGCGACCCACCGGCTCTTCGGAGGGGAAGTCTGCCGTGTGCTCTTCGCGGTCTCCCCTCGTCGCTGTGGTTCTCAGCGCAGAGCGGTTCTCATCCCAAATGCTGGTTGCAATCGACAGAGACGTGGCCGTCTTTGTCCAATCGCGACGTAGATGTCACATCGCCGGCGGAGGAGGAGGAGGATGAGGAGGAGGATCATGATTTTGTTGCGTGTGCTTGCGACTGCCTTCTTGCACTGGCGGTTGCCGCCACGTCTGCCGCAGCCCACCGCCAGCCGCGCGAGGGTCTGCTCCACGCGGCTGCAGTCGGGGGGCCTGCACTTGCCTCGCGGAAGCGGCTTTGATCGCCCGAGTTGTTCTTCGCCCTGGCCGCGTGCGCGTATGTGTGTGCGCGTATGTGTGTGTGTGTGTGTTTGTGTGCCCTCCCTCCCCTTTCGCCCTCCACGGCCGCGCCTCGCCTCTTTCCCCCACTCCTTGCCGCCGGACAACTACTGCCTGCCATCGCCCAGCTCACTAGAGCGCGCGTGCGGATCGCCTCTGCCGCGCTGCGACGACAAAAAGTGTGCGTCTGCTTGTGCGCCCGCGCCTTTGCGCATACACGCACACACACCTGCTGGTTGCGCCTCGGCTCCTCGCTGGCTCCCCCCCCCCCCTCCCAGCTTCGGCGGCCTCTGTGTGCGTCGGCGGTCTCGCCTCTCTGCCTGCTTGGGGAGTCCGGTGGCGAGTCTCTTTGTCCTCGCCCACTCGGCCTCTCAGACGGGTGCGGAGTAGATGGGGTCGGAGTGTGTCGCCGCATCGCCGATGCATCGCCGATGCGGCTCGATGTGGAGCCCGAGGTTCTCCGCGCTGGCATCGCCGAAGCACCGCGACGTCGCTGCTGCATCGCCGTCGCATCGCCGACGCATCGACGATGCATCGGCGATGCATCGACGATGCGGCGCGATCTTCCGACCCCATCTATTCGGACCCCATCTAGGAGATCTCTTACTCCCCTCTCCCTCACCTGTTCATCTTCTGCTTGGGGCCTCCTTCTCGCCTTGCCTCTGCAAGCGCGGCTTTCCGAATCCGTTTCTGCGTTCGCATCGCATCGTTTGCACGTCGGCGCCCTCCATGTGATAGGGTTCTGCCCGCTGCATCATGTCTCATCTTGCACGTCACAGCTCGTCTCTGGAGACCGTTTCTGGAGTCATTTCCATTCTCGGGCGCCATCCTCAACGAAGATTGTCAGGGCCTCCAATGGTCAGGACTGGGGGCGGTCAGGGATAGTCTCGCTGCCCCGTGAGGAGCTCCACCAGAGGCTCCAGTGGCTGCGTCCGCATGGTGATCCGCTTCATGTCGGCGACCCCCCTCACACGTTTCGTGGCTCCATAGGGAGCTCCACCGAAGGCCCCAGTCGCTGCGTCCGCATGGTGACAGGCCCCAGTCCGGCACAACCATCTCACGTTTTCGTGGCTCCATAGGGAGGTCCACCGAAGGCTCGAGTGGCTGCGTCCGCATGATTAGCGCCTCTTGGGACCCTCTTGGGAGGCCTCTTGGAGGCCTGTTCGGGCGTCGTGGGGGCATCTCGGGCTGTCTTGAGGCCATCTTGGGCGTCTCGGAGCGATCGTTCGGCGATTCGGGACCCTCTTGGACAGTCTTGACGCTTCTCCGAGCCCTCTTGGCCCGTTTTGGGGCCAATTCGACAATCATGTTGGAAGCCACGACGCGCCCCAGAGGCCACGACAGGAACCTCGGAGGAGTTGTGAAATTGTTGTGCAGACCCTTGAAGAATCTTCACGAATGAGGACAGGGGCTACAGGAGATCGAACAAGGGTCCGTGGGACACTCCAACTCGTGCCTAAATCGCACGGTGGCGGGTTCTTCGCGCTTTCATATCTCGCCCCTAAGAATCAGAATTCTGAGATTTCGTCTGGTGGGAAGCCGTGGGCGCGGGCTCTCAATGCGGTGGTGGGGTCTGCCGAGATTTCGCCTTGCGGGCGGTCGCGGGCCCCTCCTGGGCGTTTCGCGCTGCTTGCGTTACAGTGCTTGCGTTAGTTGCGTAGATTATCCCACTACGTTTACACTTCATAGCCTCCATCGCGTAGTTTTGGCATCTTTCTCTGCACCACATAGATTGCACCAGGCACAGGTTGCACCACATTGCCACATTGCTCAAACAACCTAGCTTGCGCCACGCACAGACAGATTGCACCACATTGTTTGCACCACGCAGCTTGCGCCACGCAGCGTGTGCATCACGGAGCGAACACGCCCAAAGTGCAAAACCTTCCTGTTTGGGGTCTGCGCCGGCACGCATGATTCACGAGTTTTTGCTTCCTGGTCAACGTTACGTATAAGAGGGGGGTGGGCGGCAGCACGGCACGGTGGTGCCTGGCCCGGGTGGCCTGGGCGTGGGGGGGCGGGGTGCGGCACGAGCGCAGCCGTGGGCCCGCTTGGGGCCCAGCAGCGGCACTGGGCCCGAGGGTCACCCACAGTCCGTCTGGCGCTCAGAAGACCTGCGGCTGCGGCGGGCTCCTGTCCCCAGCCCGGAGCTCTTAGAGCTCCTCACGCCCTTCCGCGTCCGCGGGGGGGTTGTTGGGCATTCGTCTGCCACTCCTCCTGCCGCGCCAGCCTGGCAGCGGCGGCAAGGGTCAGGCCCTGTCCCTGTGGCTACTTACCGGCATTGGCAGGGGAGGGGGAAAGGTCACGGACTGGCGGGTTTGCTGGCTCCCGCTGCTGCTCCTCTTGCCACCGCCTCGCACCTCGCACTGCAGGATCTGACGGCGAGGCACCCTGGGATCCAGCTGCTCATCTGCGAGAGCGGCGGCGACAATCTGGCTGCCAACTTCTCGAGGGAGACGACGACGAAGAGGAGGAGGAGGAGGAGGAGGAGGAGGAGGAGGAGCACCAGCAGCAGCAGCAGCAGCAGCAGCAGCAGCAGCTACAGGAGGAGGATGAGGAGGAGGCGGGGAAGGGAGGAGTAGCAGGAAGAGGCTGGAAAGAAGGGGGAATATACATGGAAGGAGAAGGCGGGGAAGGGAGGAGGAAGCTAGGGGGAGGCTTGCTAGACGGGGGGAGCAACACATAGGAAGCAGGTTGTAGCAGGGGGGGAGATACTCCGCGACAGCGCCCCACTTGCTGTCTAGGAGCTGTCCGACTACACGGTGTACGTGATCGACGTGGCCGGTGGCGACAAGGTCCCCAGGATCTACTCCTCCTCCCGCCCCGTTCCTGCTCCTATTCACCCCCTCGTCCGCGTCGTCTTCGTCGTCGTCGTCGTCGTCGTCGTCGTCGTCGTCTTCGTCGTCGTCGTCGTCGTCGTCGTCGTCGTCGTCGTCGTTGTCGTCCACCTCCACCGTCCAGATCATTTGCGCCATCGATGTCCTGATTCTGCTGCTGCTGCTGCTCCTCCACCTCCCACCTCTCCTCCTCTTTTCTAGTCCCACGTTCCGCCCCCTACTTCTGGTCTGAATCCTTCTTCTGCTCCTGCCTGTGCCTCTGCTCACCCTGTGCCTCCTCCTCGTCCTCCTCTTTCGCAGCAGACAGTTGGCAGTTACGAGGAATCCAGCATGCGAGCACAGCTGAGATCAAGACAAACAGCAAGCCAAGAGGCGGAGCCTCCTCCTCCTCCTCCTCCTCCTCATTCGCCTTCTCCTTTTCCTCAGGAAGGGCGGGCCGGGCATCACGCAGTCGGACTTGTTCGTGGTGAACAAGATCGACCTGGCCGCTGCGGTGGGGGCCGACTTGGAGGTGATGCGCCGCGACGCCAAGCTTATGCGCGGAGATCCCGGTTGTCGTCGTCCTCCTGCTCCTCCTCTTCTTTTTCCGCCCCTCACGCCCATCCTGCTCCGTCCCCCCTCCTCCACCTCCAACCCCCTATCTGTCGCTTCCGCTCCCCCTCCCTCGTGCCCCGGAAGCGGGCAGGGTGGGCTAGGGTGCGGGCGCGTCGGCGGAGGGCGGGGGCCGGGAGGGGGCAGGGGGCAGGGGGCAGGGGAGGGAGGGAGTCCGGGATGGCATAGGGGGGAGGGGGGGGAAGGAGAGGGGCGGGAGGGGATGGCATGGAGGGGGGGGGGAGGGGGGAACGGAAGGGGGGGGACGGAGGGGAAGGGGAGGGGGGGGACTTCCCGACAGGCTTCCATGGAAGCCTGTCGGGACGGAGGCTGGCCGCGGAGGGGAGGGAAGGGGAGGGCAAGGGAGCGAAGGGAAGGGCGGGAAGGGGGGCACGACATGGGGAGGGAGAGGGAGCGGGCGAAGGCAGGAGGGAGAGAGGGGGGAGGAGGAGGAGGAGGAGGAGGAGGAGGAGGAGGAGGGACGACGACGACGACGACGACGACGTCGAGGAGTAGGAGTAGGAGTATGAGTCAAGCTAGCCAGCTCGAGCGAGTCAAGCATGGCATGCCCAGTCCCACCCGCCCTCCCACAACATAAGAAGCAAAGCTGGCACAACTGGGGGCCGAAGTCACACCGGCCAGCCGGTTTGGTACAGCTGATGCGGCCGCGATGGCGGTTGCCGACGGGAACTGGCGAGCGCGTGTTGAATGCCGCGCACGCATTGCCAGACGAGTCGAGAATGGCCCGGTACACCGCAGGAAGCCAGAGGTGGCCGGAGGAAGCCCGACGGTCTGACAGGACACCCCAAAGCATTTTTGTGAAAAAGCATTGGGTTTTTGATGTTTTTATGTTGAAATGCTTGCAAACACACGGTGTTCGGTAGGATTCTGACATGAACGCGCGAGTGTGCTCTTTGTGGCATTTTTTGCACAGGATTCGCGGCCTGGGTGCATGACAGAGCATCGCGAGTGCACCGCGCGATGACGTGAAATCGCTGGATTTGACCGAATTCTTAAGATTCCTATGGTTTTCCTATGATTTCAGCAAGAGAGCCCGGGCGGGAAATTTGTACAATTTTTGTGAAAAAGCATTGGGTTTTTGATGTTTTTATGTTGAAATGCTTGCAAACACACGGTGTTCGGTAGGATTCTGACATGAACGCGCGCGTGTGCTCTTTGTGGTATTTTTTGCAATGGATTATCGCCGTGGACGACAGGACGTCCATGTCGAGAGGAAAAAATAAGAAAAATGTTGATTTTGTATTGTTTTTTACAGGTTAGGATGGGACCACCCGGATGCGGCCCCTATCTGCCGGCCTGAGGGGGGAGTAGGAGTATATTCTAATAAGGAATAAGGATAGGAGGAGGAGGAGGAGGAGGAGGAGGAGGAGGAGGAGGAGGAGGAGGAGGAGGAGGAGGGCCCGAGCCAGCCAAGCGGTGCCAACGTCCGATCCTCTACGGGAAGGGCCGCCTTGAAAGACGACCGCCCCGCGAGCCTGCCACTCGAAGCGAGCGCCCCGCTGCCAATCTGGATGTCGAAGTGCAGGGAGGTCGGATCGTAGTCGTTGGGCTCGTCCACCCCCTTCCTCCCTCATGCTTCTCCTTCGGCTCCCTCCTCCTCCTCCTCCCACCTCCTCCTCCTCCTCCTCCTCCTCCTCCTATCACCTCCTCCTCCTCCTCCTCCTCCTCCTCCTCCTCCTCCTCCTCCTCCTCCCACCTCCTCCTCCCACCTCCTCGTCTATCTTCTCCCCCTCCCTCGAGGAGAGGGGCCGACGGTGTTCGCCGCGGTCAAGAACGGCGTCGGAGTGGAGGAGATCGCGGGGCGGATCCTGTCGGCGTGGGGGCTCGCCACCGGGAGCCGCGCAGACGCGCAGTGAGCCGGCCTCGCTGGCTTTCACGGGCGTCGGGCGTTGCTCGGAGGTGGATGGACCTCCTACCCTGACACGTCGAGTAAGGAATTGGCCGTTCTCGGTTCGCGAGAGGGCGTCGCGGCCGTCATTTCTGCGGGTCCAGGTCCGTCGGTTTCGGTCCCATGCCGTTTTCACCAAGGGGAGGTTTACTACAGGGAGGTTTGTCCACCGCCGAGTTGCACACCAGGGGGCGGGTCGGAGGGCTCGTCGGACGAGGTTGGTCTCGCCAGGCCAGGGGGAGGTTTACTAAAGGGAGGTTTGTCCACCGCCGAGTTGCGCACCGGAGGCGGGTCGGAGGGCTCGTCGGACGAGGCTGGTCTCGCCAGGCCAGAGAGGCCCTGCAGCTCGACCCGAGGCGTCTCGGCAGCCGTCGACGCAAGCAGTGGCGGAGCGTCTTTGGCGTGCCTATATAGGCCTACCGAACAATGTTCTCTAAGAGCCTTCTGAGGTCTGCACGAGATGTTCTTAGAACATTTCTGGCCGGGCCTGTCTTGTTTTAGCACATCGGGTCTATGTTCTAAGAACACGGCTCTTGTTCTTAAAACATTGTCGGGTTCTAAGAACATGTCGTGGTAGGCCTATAGAGATGCCGGGACGGTCGGTCCCTGCTCAATCGACATCACCTTTCGGGAGCCGGCCACGCGCAGAGTGGGGGCATGGGGGAGGGGGGAGGGCTTCTTTGCAGGAGGCTCGTCCTTAGGAAGGCGCGAGCCTTCTCTACAGATGCAAGGCCCGCGCCCTCTAAGAGGTGGCCTCCTTCCACGAAGCCTTCCCCCATCCCCCGGCCCCCGTGTGCGCGCCGCCAGTTGAGCCAGGCCTTCTCGCCGCTCCCGATCGCAAGGCGGGGGCGACGGATGGGGATGGGGGATGGGACTCGAGGGCTGCAGGCAGGGGGTCCCAGCAGAAAGGGCCCCAAAGGCCCCCCCCCCCCCATGGTGCCCCGACGTGGCGCGCAAGGTGCACCTGTCTCGTCCACGCGCAGAGCGAGGTCATTAGAGGGAGGGGAGCGGCTTCTCAGAAGCACCCCTGCTTCCTAGAAGGCCCGGGCCGTCCCTGTAGAAGTAAGGCCAGCGCCTCCTCAGAAGCAGCCTCCTTCTAAGAAGCCTTCCCCCCCCATCCCCCATGCTCCCCTATGCGCGCCGCCAACTTCCTCCGCACCCGTGCTTGTTGGTGCCGCTTCCCCCCCGCGAAGCAACACCCCAAAGCGCGGAGGAAGCCCCGCGGCACGTAGGCACGCGGGCCGCGGAGGCGGGGAGGGCGCGGCGGCGACGAGGCGGGCGGACGGCGTGGCCCCTCGGAGCCCGCTCGGCCTCCCAGGCGGGTCGAGCCTCCGAACGGGCCCAGGATGTCACGCCCTGGGCCTTCTTTTGGTCGGTTGATGCTTCGTGGGCAAGGGTGAGCTCGTCGAGGCGCCCATTGGGACCCCCCTGGGGGCCCTCCAGGCAGGATGGCCCGCTCGGGCGTTCGTGGTTTGGTCTTCCTCCCTGTGGCTGAGAGGGGGGCTCGTCGAGGGCCCCGCTGGGAGACCCCCCTGGGGGCTCTCCAGAGGCCCTCGGCACAGCCCGGCGGCGTGCGCGCCCTGGGGTGGGGAGAGGCGAGGGGGGGCAGGTCCTCTCGGAAGGCGCGGGGGCTTCTCGGAAGCCTCCCGACCTTCCGAGGAGTCTCCCGTGTCCTCTTTTTGTTGGTCGCGGGCGGACGCGGATTCGCTGTCGCCGAACTGAGAGGTCCGGGCCACGGGCCTGCCAAATTAGCAATGCGCCAGCCTAAAAGCGCAGCGGCCGAGCCCGCTCACAGTGCCTACCGCTGGTGGGGCCGCGGGCTGATGGGGAGCTGGCTGAGACCTCTCCCGTGTCCTCGGGGAGGCCTAGAATCCGAGGCGGGAGTCTAGACATGACCACCGCCCAGAGGGTCCATGTTCGGGGACCTCGGCAGGCGGTGGATATGGACATGTTCGGGCGCCCGGGGGCCAATACAGATCCACATCCACCGCCCGCTGGAGCACCATGACGTCGGCTCCCAGGTGGCGGATCTGGATCAAGCCCCACCTCGCGTGGAGGACTTCGCAGAGGGCGCGAGGGCTTCGAGAAGCCCAGCCGCCTTCTGACAAGGCCTGCCCCCTCTCTCGCTTCCCCCCGCGGGTTGGCCGCCACGCAGAGGACGAGGGGCCCCGTTCGGCTGCCGATGGGGCACGGGCGCCGCCGCACGGCCGCACCCGAGCTCGCTCCCAGTCGGCGGCCGAGAGGGCTCGGGCGTGGCCGGGGGCTCAAACACGAGCCCGAGAGCAGGGAAAGAGGAGGAGGAGGAGGAGGAGGAGGAGGAGGAGGAGGAGGAGGAGGAGGAGGAGGAGGAGGAGGAGGAGGAGGAGGAGGAGGCGGAGTCAGGCGAGGCAGGGAGGAGAGGGAGGAGGAGATCAGGAGGCAGCGGAGGTGGATGAGGAGGAGGAGGAGGACGAGGAGGAGAAGCAGGAGGAGGAGGAGGAGGAGCAGGACCCGTGGACATTTTGGGTCAAGCCATTTTGGCTCACGAGGCCATTGGGGGCCGGAGCCGCGGTCCCCCCGCGGGGGGGACCGCGGCGTGGCGGGCCGGCCCCAGCCCGCGGGCCGACAGCGGCCTGGCGGGCGCATCAGCCATGCCATCTCCGGTCTTGCCGGATACGGCCCCACCTCGCGAATCCAGGAACTGGAACCCTTGTGTGGCGGCGGTGATTGAGGAGCCCGCGTCGCGGGCGAAGAGGAGACAGTCGAGAATGAGCCAAGAGGCGGTACGACAAGCTTTGGAGGCCACGTCCGGCCTGTGTACCCAACTTTCTCTGCAATCGCACCAGCGCCCAAACCATGGAGCAAATCCAGAACCTTCGATATCTCTGCTCCGAGAGTTAGTAGCAGCAGTACGCCGGATCGAATCTGACGTGCAGACGATACGACAGTCAACAGTCCCAGGATTCAATAGGAATGCTCCAGAGTTCGCCCCCAGTGTCCTGCAGTGTTGGACGGAAGCCAGCATAGCGCCAGACTTCTTGCCACGGTATTAGCTGCGAGAAAAGTCAACGGCAGCAGACAGCAGGCGTACAGACAGGCTTGGAGGCAAGACTGCAGACAGCACGTGAACAGACAACGCAGCAACCCCTGTCTGTCTTATCCTGCACAAGGGGGACGTAGCGGAGGATCAAGAGGTGGCTCAAACAATTGTGCATCAAGGAGGGGCCAGGCGCCGGTGTGGCACTGACAAGCACGAGCCTGATACCATCAGCTACGAGCTACGAGATTGGCACGGCTAAGCACGAAACCCACGACATCCATTACGAGGGTGGTGTCGAGAAGCACGAACCCGACGGCGGCAGCTACGAGGGAGGTGGGGCGAAGCGCGAGGCCAACGTCGTCAGCTCCGCGGGAGGCCGCCCGAAGCGCAAGCCCGACGCAATCATCTACGAGGATGGCACAATGAAGCACGGGTCCAATGCCATCAGCTACGACGGTGGGGCCGCGCAGCACGAGCCCGATGTCATCAGCTACAGTGTTGGGGCCGGCCCCCTCGTGCGAGAAGGTCAGGCAGCGGTGCGGGAAGGGCGGGCAGTGGTGCGAGAAGGGCGGGCAGTGGTGCGAGAAATGCGGGCAGCGGTGCGAGAAGGGCGGGCAGTGGTGCAAGATGGGCCGGTAGCGGTGCGTGCAGGGCTGGCAGTGGTGCGAGAAGGGCCAGCAGTGGCACGAGTAAGGCTGGGAGTGGTGTGAAACGGGCCGACAGTGGTTCCAGAGGGGGCTGCAGGTGGGGGAGTGGCGGCAGTGGTGCGTGACCAGCCGGCAGCGGTGCGAGAAGGGGCGGCAGCGGTGCGAGACAGGCCGGCAGCGGTGCAAGAAGGACCAGCAGTGGTGCGAGAAGCGCTGGCAGGTGAGGCAGCGGCGGCAGAGGTTGGTTTTAGGTTGCGGAGGTGGTGGTGGAGGCGTGGGAGGAGGAAGCAGGGGAAGCGGGGCGAAGCACGACCTCAACGTCGTCAGTGACGGAGGTGGTCCCACGAATCACGAACCCGACGCCATCAGTTATGAGAGTGGTACAACGATGCACAAATCCGATGATAGCAGCTACGACGGTGGTACGGCTGCGAAGTACGAGCCCGACGTCATCAGCTACAGTGTTGGGGCTGGCCCCCTCGTGCGAGAAGGCCCGGCAGTGGTGCGGGAAGGGCCGGCAGTGGTGCGCGACGGGCAGGCAGTGGTGCGAGACTGGCGGGCACTGGTGCGAGAAGGGCCGAAGTTTGGTGCGTGACGGGCCGGCACCGGTGCGAGAAGGGGTGGCAGTAGTTCGAGACGTGCGGGCAGTGGTGCGAGAAGGGCCAGCAGTGGTGCGAGAAGGGCCGGCAGGAGGGGCAGTGGCGGCAGAGGTTGGGTTGGATACAAGACGCTGTCAGCCACAGCGTGGCCCGCGGAACGCCGTGCCCGTACCGTTCCCAGTGATCTTGCAGGCTTGTGCACCGCCCACTGTGCATATGTACTCGGTCGTCTAGGATACGCGGACATCGCTGGGAGCAGAAGAGAAGCCGAGAGGGATAAGGAGCAGGAGATGTCTGACAGCGACTCGGGGGGCGTTAGGATCCATGCGCTGCTCGACACTGCGCGCAAGTTATTCGTAGCACGACGGCCCGACGTGGCACCCAGGGCACTTCAAAACAAACATACAAAACCGCTCAACACGCCATGCGGCATCCTGTGTCCAGCACCTGCACGACAGCATCGCTATCTGCCTCAAGGACTGACAGTGCTATGAGCACCTGGTGGAGGAACAGAAGCATGCACTCATCTATATGTAAGTGTGTTTATATGTATATATATATACACAGCCGTGGGAGGAAAAGGAACATGACATGTCGGACAGCGACGCGGGGGACGAGGGGAAGGAGGGCAGGGTGTGGGGGCACAGGTACACACCGAACAAGCGCAACGGCACGCCGCAGGCCAGCCGCGGTGCGGGCAGGGAGTGCAAGAAGGGACAGCAGTGGCAGCAGACGGGGCGAGGCGTGGACGAGCTGACGGCATCAGCTACAAACCAGTTCTACATAGGAAGCCTGTCTTACGACGTCGACTGGCGCGACCTAGAGGACCACGCGAAGCAGGCGGGAAGCGTGGACCTCTGCAGAGTTCCCACAGGGGACGGGACCGTTTACGGCAGATCGTTCAGATACGGCCAGGTACGTTTCTCCACAGAAGAGGAGGCCAACAAGACGATGGCCACACTGGACGAGACGGCGCTCAAGAACCGGAGAATTCGGGTTCGGACGTGGTCTGCCGCAAAGGGACGTGATCTACAACGTGCGTGGTTGAAGGGTGGTGGTGCGGCGCGGGAAGAGCAGCGGAGTGGGTGGCAGGGAGCGGAACGTGGCGGTCTGACCGCGGGCCTCGAGCGCCTTGGCGCGGGCTGGTTGCGCGGCAGAGTCCGGATGGACGTGCGAGAGAGAGAGCGGAAGAGGAGGAGGAGAAGGAGGATGAAGAGGAAGAGAAGAAGGAGGAGGAGGAGGAGGAGGAGGAGGAGGAGGAGGAGGAGGAGGCTCGGAGGCTCGGAGGCTCGGAGGCTCGGAGGCTCGGAGGCTCGGAGGCTCGGAGGCTCGGAGGAGGAGGAGGAGGTCCGTAGCCTTATGGCTCAAGCTGGTTCTCCCGTTTTCTCCATAGCCATTTCTGCGATGGATGCGGCTGGAGGTCGGAGAGCATGATGGCTACGGGGGGCTGCCCGTCGGTGTGGCGGCCCACGGCGCGGCGCGAGGCCGAGATCGAGTCGCTCGGGCCGTCCGCCGCTCGGCGCGCGTCTCGCGTTCGAGCCCAGAGGGCCTGCGAGGCGGGCTTGCGAGCGGCCTTGGACAGCCCGGGCGCGCCAGGATCTTGGCAGGACCGGGAGCGCGCCTCTCGGCAGGCGCTGCAGTTCCGGGCTGCGGGACGTCGTGTACCTGGCGCTGCTAGGCGGCGCCGTAACGCCGCACAGCATGCAGCGCGCGTGCCGGCTGGCGGCTTTGCTACGGTGTCTTCGGAGGCGCTGGCATGGGCTGCGGGCGGCCCGCGGCTGGGGCTTTCGGAAGTCAACGAGGCGGCCGCGGCTCCCGCCGTAGACGCATTCGAGTTCGCGGAGACCTGCGAGGCAATCGCAGTGCCTGAGGCGAACTCCGTGGACATGCTGAGCGCCGAGGCCATGGAGTTCACGCCAGCTGCCGAGGCGGTTTCTGCCCATGCCGCGGATGGACCACGATGCACCTGCGGAGCTATGGTGTTTTCTTCCTGCCGACTGGGCCTGCGGCGGCTCCCCTTGCCTTTGGCGGGAGCGCAGGCGGTGAGGCAGGAACGTGTGTTTCCAGAAGCTGCCCTTGATATCTGTGCTGGTGGCAAGCTCGCTGGAGACGGTATTCGCGATGATGGCGTTGCTCGTACTTTTCATGCTGATGGAGAAGTTCCTGGCGATGGCCCTTGCAAGGGGGGCCGTCCTACAGCTGACAGCGCGGAACGACTGAGGGCCACGCCCGAGAGTTTTAACACTGAGAGTGCCACCAATTCGATGTTCGGTTCACACGAGAAGGAGGCTGCTGAACAGCCTCTGGCGTGTGAGGAGGCCGTTCGTCAGCACGTGAAGGAGGTGGAGACCCAGATGGCCGCCTGGCGGCGGGAGGGCCCATCCACAAGGCCCTTTGTGCGCAGACGTGCGCGAGAGGGATTCGCAGTGCAGGCACCATCTGTGACGGATACAAGGCCAGGCGCACACACCTTGCGCCGCCTCCAGGCCATGGATTACATGAAGATAGGGCGCAGCAGTTTGCGCAAAGATAAGCATGACGGACAGTAGAGGTGTGTTGGAGGGATTGAGCGGTGGCGCGTTCATCTGAGCCTCTCCCGCCAGCTGCTGTCTCTCTGTGTATGCTTAGTCATTTTGTTGTCACGGAGTGTGCACGCAGGGAGAATTTATGATATCATCCAGCCCCGCCGAGCCTAGTTCGAGGGAGCATTGAGAGAGCCACTGGAAAAGGAGGAGGAGGAGGAGGAGGAGGAGGAGGAGGAGGAGGAGGAGGAGGAGGAGTTCAAGGCCGAGGCCAGAGAGGGCGGCTGCAGGAAAGGAGGCGGGAGAAAGCCTCTTCAACATAAAACGTCCGTCCATGCGCCCGCGCCTGCCGGGCCATCCGTTGAGGTAAACGTCGCCGTGAGCAGGGCCTCGCGTGCGCTTGACGACGCCAGACAACTTCGCGACGCAGGTGGGGAAGCACGACGATCCGGCGGGCCGGCGTAGGCGCACGACGCCACAGCCCGACGCGCAGGATAGGCCAGCACGTCCAACCCCCGCACCCCCCAGGGCGGCCCTGGCACGCGGTTGAGAACGACGGGGGTGCGCGTGCATAAAAATCGACTACACGTAAGAGTGACCTTTCGCCGCAGTGACCGTTGGTGCGCGGTCCCCCGATCGCCGAACGCGATGCGGTATGAGCGTCTTACGCGCTCGTGTTTGGCCCCCCTCCGCGGCCCCCCGAAAAGCCGCGCACCAAAGGCCACTCTTACCCAGGGTCGCTCGTGCGCGTAGCCGAGAGAATTCGCAGGCCTAGAGGTTGATACCAACACCAGGATCGGCAGTGTGCCTCCACCGAGGGAATACGATCCTTATTTCGGCGATGGTGGTAATATTCTGGCTTCCGAGGTGACCAAAATATTACCACCAACGCCGAAATCTAGGATCATCTTCCCCATGTGGAGGCAAACCCCCTGTGCTGGTGTTGGTGCCAATTTCCAGGCCTCCAAAGAATGACCACGACGCATCAAACGAAGGCGAGGGCAAGGACGAGCCCCCGCTGGCCGAGGCGGGGCGAACAGGGAGAGCGCCTCGAGGGTAGAGCCCGCGGGCGGAGGGGCCCGGAGCCCCGCGCGGCCCCGCTGCTCGGCGGACGCCGTGCCCGGGGCTGCCAGCGGCGCGCGCGCGCACGCGCGCGCTGGTCTCCTCGGCGGATGGCCTGGCTGATCGAGCTCCTCCCCCCTCTCTCTCGCTCGTCCAGCCTGCCTCTTGCCCCGCTGCCCCCCGCCCTCCTCCCTCCTCCCTCCCCTCCTTGCCCCCCCCCCGTGTCTCCTCCGCCTCCCCCCTCTCTCTGCCTTCATCCCTGACCCCCTCCTGCCGCCGCCGCCGCCGCCCCCTCCTTTTAGGGATGACGGGCATGGATATGATGAGTACATTGGAAGGGCGCGGGCGCCACCTCACAGCGGGGACGGAGGAGGAGGAGGAGGAGGAGGAGGAGGAGGAGGGAAACAAGGAAATCTTAGGTTGGTCTAGGATCAGTGTAAACACAAAAGTCACCAACGATGTTGACATGTACCCGCCCTCCAAGCTCCCTCTTCATAGGCCCCTTACAACGGTTCAAATTCATTTGGGGAACGGCTTCGTTGGATGACCACCGTTTGAAGACCTTGAAGCATGCCAAAACTTTGTTTTCGGGGTGCCAACGCCACGGATCAGCCTGACTGCTGCGTCTTGACGATCTGGAATCGTGCCAGAAAGCCTTTCTTGGGACTTCAACACAGCCAATCAACATAACTGTGTCGCCCGCATAATCCTGAATCCAAATCGCAGTTTCTGGTAAGGTGATGGAGTCCGTGAAATGTTTGCAGATATTTAGAACGAATGTGCGCGGCGCTTTTGCGAGAACCACATTTTGAAAAGGAGCCGCCCTCAATCCATGAAGCTCTTGCACACGTTCAAAACGTTTGTGCGCCGCGCTAGAGTGATAACCACATTTTGAAAACCACCCGCCCTCAATCTGTGGATTTCTTGCAACCGTTGGAAAGGAATGTACGCGGCGTGAAGGCGAGAGCCTCATTTTGAAAACGACCCGCCTTCAATCCGTGAAGGTTTTGCGGATATTGAAAAATCGAATGTGTGCGGCGCTAAGGCGAGAGCCACATTTTGAAACGACCCGCCTTCAATCCGTGCAACTCTTATGATTTTTTCAAACGATGGCGCACCGCTCTGGGGCGAGAGCCACATTTTGAAAACCGTGAAAACCACCCGCCCTCCATCTGTGAAGCGGTTGTCACTTTTCAGCTTCAGGGATTGCCGGCGAAACGCCCCGCCCGCCCTAAAAGCAGGCCTCGGGGTGCGACAGGGCGAGGTTAATCAGAAGGAAAAGGAATGGAGGAGGAGGAGGTGGAGGAGGAGGAGGAGGATGAGGACCAGTGTAACTCCAGAAATCACCAACGATGTTGGAATTAACCCTCCCTCTAAGCTCCCTGTTCATAGGCCCTTTACAACGGTTAATTTTATTGAAGGGACTGCGTCGTTGGAAGACCACCGTTTGACATTCCTGAAGCATGGCAAAACATTGTTCTCGGGATTACAACGCCACGGATCAACCTGACTGCTGCGTCTTGACGAACCGGAATCGTGCCAGCACGCCATTTTTGGGACTTCAGCACCGCGAATCAACATAACTGTGCGTGGCGCCCGCGTTGTCCGGACCCAAAATAGCATGTCAAGTACGTTGGTCATGGGAATCCGTGGAATCTTTGCAAACGTTTAAAAGGAATGTGCGCTGTGCTAAGGCGAGAGCCATATTTTGAAAACGACCCACCCTCAATCCATGAAGCTTTTGTACATGTTTATAACGACTGTGCCCGGCGTGAAGGCGAGAACCACATCTTGAAAACCACCTGCCCTCAATCCGTGAAGCTCTTGCAAACGTTTAAAACGAATGTCCGCGGCGCTAAATGCGAGAGCCACATTTTGAAAACCACCCGCTTTCAATCCGTGAAGCCTTCGCAAATCTTTTGAACGAATGTGCGTGGCGCTAAGACGAGAGGCACATTTTGAAAACCACCCGCCCTCCATCTGTGAAGCTGCTGCAATTTCTAAGCTTCAGGGCTATAAATGATGAGGAAGTCTCCGGCGAAACGCCCGGCCCGCCCTAAAAACTGGCCTCGGGGTGCGACAGGGATAAGTTAATTTAAGGAGAAGGAATGGAAGAGGAGGAGGAGGTGGAGGAGGAGGAGGAGGAGGGAGGAGGAAAAAGGGGGGGAAGATCGATGCCCGTTTTTTTTGGCCTGCTCGTCCTCGCTGGGCTCGCCGCCCTGGCCCAGGCAGCGCAACCGCACACGCCCCCGCCGCGGCCGCGCAGTGGATCCCCCGCGCCCTGGATCGGCGCTCCCTCCGCCGCCTCGCCCCGACCCGCCCAGCGCGCTGGCCGCGCAGCGTCCCGTGGCCGGGCGCCCCCGTCGGCCCGCCTCGGGCCGCCTCCGCACAGCAACGCCACACAGCCGACGTCCCCAGACATCGGGCGTCTCGAAGAAATCGAGACGGAGCTTGTCCGTGGTTTTTGGCCTCTCGGGGCCCTCTGCGGGCTTCGGGGCCGTCAAGGAAGGACTCGGGATGAGAAGCCGGTCCCAGGGAAGTGGTCGGGAGGTCGGGGGCCCGCGTCTGGAAACAATCGAGACGTCTGACGTGTGGGCCTCGATTTTTTCGAGGCACGGGCCCCCGTCCTCCCGACCACTTCCCTGGGGCTGGTTTCATATCCCGAGTCATTTTTTTGACGGTCCCGGGGCCCGGCGAGGGCCCCGAGAGGCCAAAAACTACGGAAAAGCCTCCGATTTCTTCTAGACGCCCGATGTCTGGGCCTCCGAACAAACATGTCGCGGCGCCCGCGCCGCGCTAGGCCGCCGCGGGCCGCTCTGGCACTGCTCGCCGCGGTGGCCGGCGCGGGCGCGCTGCTCGCGCACCGCCCCGCGGCGGGCGCGGCCGCGGCGGGCGCCGCGCCGGCGCTGGTGGCGCGCCCGTGGGGGCTCCCCGGGGGCGCCATGTGGGGGCTGGCCGCGGCGCTGCAGGGGCAGCCGGCGCTGGCCGAGGGCGGCCCGTTCAGCCTCGGGGCGGGCGAGAGGGCTCGACGGCCTGGTCGGAGGAAGTCATGGCATGAATGAACATGAAAGCTCGGAGGCCCGCGCGGATTTCTCGGATCCGCGCTGGCGCCCACCCTGGCGGCGCCTCCGGCGCCGCCCCTGGCGCCCTCTGCGCGCCAGGGAGGGGGGTCCAGCGCCGATCCGAGAAGTCCGCGCGGACCTCCGAGTTTTTCTGTAACTGTAGATTAGGGGGCCAAATGCGAACCCTACCCCTACCCCCCACGATTTCTGAGGGGAAGGGTGGGGTTCACTTCGCTCGGGAGCTCCCGAAGGAAGTGAACCCCACCCTCCCCCTCAGAAATCGTTGGGGGGAAGGGGTAGGGTTCGCATGTAAGCCTCTATATGTGTCATTCTTCGTGCCCCTGTGGGCTGCCTCGATGCGCCCGTGCGGAAACGCAACGCGTGCCGTGCTCGGAGCGTCCGTGCCAACACGTTGCGTGTTGGCTCGGCGCATGCTGGCCCACGCTTCGGGGAAGGCACCGCGGCGGACCCACGTGGCCGATCTACGTGTCGAGCTGCGTGTCAGCACGCTACGTTTTGCGTGTTGCGTATCGGGGCAGCTGGGCTCCACTGGCTCGGGCAATGCTCTGCCGTGTTTCGCGAGGTTTCCCGAAGTGGTCGGAGGCGTTCGGCCCTTTTTCGGGCAGGAACCACGACGAGGATGCGATGCTCGAGTCGCGAGCGGAATTGCGACGGAAGATTTTTGGCGATCTGCGGCCTCCAGGAGTCCTTCTCAGGCCTCGGGACGGTGAGCTGATCGGGGTGACAAAGAAAACGGTCTCGGGGAAGGGGTAGGACTTCCAGCCAGGGGCCCACGTCGTGACACAAATCATTACGGGCGGGCGAGAGGGTTCGGGAGGTTGCCCGAAGCTGTCGTAGGTTTCCGGGGCCTGGGGTGGTTCTCATCAGCTGCGCCCCACCGAGAGCGTTCTGGAGGTGTCAGAATCGTCCCGAACGGCCGCCTGCGGCCCGAGTGGTGGTCCGAGAGCTATTCGGATCAGGGGCAACGCTAGGGGAGGGGTACGCCCAGGCGGGAATGCGTCGACCCCCAGTTCGCCCATGACGGTTGTGGTTAATGGTGACATCAAAATTCGAATGGTGAAGTAGAAATTTTTAAAAGGTGAATTTAAGAAAACACTACGTACAAACATTACGCAGAAAAAACAACAACATACTACGTAAAAACACTACGTAAAACACTACGCCAGACACAAACAACACTACGTAAAAACACTACGCAAAACACACACTACGGAGAAGCATTACGTACGTGAGTACGTCACATCCGCACACTACGTGTGTGACCACGGAGGTCTCGTGAGCGGGCGCTCCAGCGGCTGGCGCGGCCCTGCGAAGTCCGGACGACGAGGGCATTCTGCGTAGTGTTTTTCCCAACCATCCTGTGGTGTTGGGTCCTCGTTTTGAAGAGACGGTGCCCCTCGTTCCCGCCTCCTTCCTCCCTCCCTCCTCCCCCTTCCTCCCCCTCCCACACCCATTCTGGCACACCCCTCACACGTTTCGTGGCCCCATAGGGAGCTCCACCGAAGGCCCCAGTGGCTGCGCCCGCATGCGGTTCCACCCCCCAGTCTGGCACACCCCTCACACGTTTCGTGGCCCCATAGGGAGCTCCACCGAAGGCCCCAGTGGCTGCGCCCGCATGCGGTTCCACCCCCCATTCTGGCACACCCCTCACACGTTTCGTGGCCCCATAGGGAGCTCCACCGAAGGCCCCAGTGGCTGCGCCCGCATGCGGTTCCACCCCCCATTCTGGCACACCCCTCACACGTTTCGTGGCCCCATAAGGAGCTCCACCGAAGGCTCCAGTGGTTGCGCCCGCATGCGGTTCCACCCCCATTTTGGCACACCCCTCACACGTTTCGTGGCCCCATAGGGAGCTCCACCGAAGGCCCCAGTGGCTGCGCTGGCATGCGGTTCCACACCCCATTTTGGCACACACCTCACACGTCTCGTGGCCCCCTAGGGAGCTCCACCGAACGCCGCAGTGGCTGCGGTCGCATGCGGTTCCGCCCCCCATTTCGGCACACCCCTCACATGTTTCGTGGCTCCATATGGGAGCTCCAC